TACATAGAATAATTGATACTTCCTCTATTTTTCATTTATCTTCTTCATAAAAACTATCACATACAGAGGTACGCTGTTTTTTAATATTGTTTTTTCTTCTCTAAATATTACTCTGGGCAAGATATTGCTACTTGCTCATTGTGTCTGTTCTTCCCCATAAAACCAAACATTTTTCATATATTCCTTCCAACTTCCATACATCATTACTGCCTAGTCATTACTGCAGTGACCTTTTAATATGCTAAGTCCTCTTTTATGGTGGAAACATGTTCTTAATAGAAAGTGAACTTTGTAATTGCTGTTCAAAAGTTTTACATACATTCAAACATTAATTATAATAATATACATATACATTTCAGAAATAATTGATAGTTTTGTGTGGCTTTGTATGATAAAGCTTGTACTATCGCACCATTATATTGCTTCAGGTAGCTTCATGGAGGCAGAATGGGACAATTCGCCAGGGCCAACACATTGAGGGAGAATTTAACAATTCAATGTAATTATTTAAAATAAATAAAAAAATATTTTATTTTTTGTCGTTCACATTTCATTCTGTCCCTCATTTTGCATCCTTTCTTTATTGATTCTATTCCACCATTTCTTTGATATTAGTGTAATTCTTGTCTATAGCAAGTTGCCCCATGGCGCGTTGGCCAGGGCGAGTTTGCAGTGGCAAGTTGGCCGTGGTGAATTGTTATAGAGGAGGAGGAGGAGGCTAATAAATGATGGCAGGAGTAGGGAGCAGAGCTTTTACAATATGGATCCTAATATGATACGGGTGGTGCAACAGTGTTTTTGAATTCTGTTCCAGGCATACCTTTCCCATCAGTCAGTTAGAATTTGATGCAGCCACTTTTAATACCAAGATTTGATTAGTAAAATGTTAAAAAATAAAATAGACAATATTCATAAACAGTCTGAAGGCTGTTTCTTTGAAAGGGTTCTTTGAAAGGGTTCAAAAGCAGCTCTAGATTTGTTTTAAGTTCACTGAGTGGCTGTTTGGGGGATCTGAGAAGATGAGTTTCGGTGTTCTGCTTGCAGTGCTTCTCTGGAGGATTTTTTTAAGAATATATTTCTCCTTCTCCAATATGCAATCAAGGGATAATTTCTGAGTTGCAAGTTGTTCCAACAGTATCATCTCACTTTCAGAGTTTACAAGAAGTTTTAAGTGTAGGACAAACGGCATCTTTGCAGCCAAGAAAGATCACATTGCGGCGACTGAGACGTTCTCGTAAACAACTATATGCACAAAACATTAAGAATGTACAGGCCTTCAAGGGTGTGATTCACTTCAACAAAGAAGAAAACAAAGCACACCTGAAACTGTTTCATGAAACATCGTGTCCTTTTGCAGCTAAGGGTGAAGCAAATGGCTACACTGCTTCATTTCACTCTGCTTTGCTGCTGTTCTTCACAGCCTCCTACAGCTTCCTGCATTTGCAGAGTGTCTGGGCAAGGCAATCATATTCCCACTTTGCACTGGTGAGATGAATTGTACCACTTGTAGCAGGAAACATCTTGTGAGGGAGAATCAGTGTTGCCTCTGCAGGCCAAAACACCATGAACTGAAAATGTGAATGTGGAGAGCACTAGCAATTCTTTTTTAATTCCTTTATTTTATGGAATGAAATAAATGATGAAGGAGATATATACTGATTCAACTATATTTTTTTTACATGTTCTTTTTGGTTAACTGAAATTACTTGTAGAGTTCTGGTCATATTCTTCGCATTTTGCAGTCAGAAGAATTGAAGATAATCTCAGATCGGCATAAAACTGGGAGATGTGTGTGTGTGTAAACACCAGTGTGAAATAATGGTGCCCTAATTGAATAGAATTTACATGAAAAGAGGAACTGTACCTATTTTAGAAAGAAATCTCTAATGTGATGTGTTTTTAATTACATAGAAACGACTGAATGGACTTCGAAAGAGTTCCAGGCATATGGACTCAGGTTTGTTTGAGGTTTTTAAATACATTTTTAAATATTTACTAATAAAAGCTGATGAGAGTGGAATTGATTTGTCATATTATTATTGCTCAGTTTTCTGACTTCCTTCCACCCAAGGACATTCCCTGCATGTTTTCATAAGCAGACTGCTAAGATGTAATTTGCTATGTATTCTAACCTCATGCATGTTTCTCTCTCTGATTGTCAGAATAGGTGTTTTTTTTAGGCTTCTGATTTTTTTAAAGGGCCAGAAAGGATGCAATAAGCAGTAGCAAAAGGTAACAATTTACTCCCACCCTAATCTCTCCTTTCCCCTAAAACTGGGGCAAAAATAAAATCATTTAATGATATATACTGTATGTAGGGTTAGCCCCATAAACCTCGCCAAGCTAGATTGGTCCTGCCAACTCTGCTAAAGTGTCACCAGCCATGTCCTCTGCATCTCTACGCAGTGAAAAACAAAGTGCTGAACATTATAGCCCAGCCTTGATTTAGAGTAAAGGTTATTTAGATAAAACTTGGATTTTTATCAGCCTATAACCTACGGCTAGTACAGTGAAGTACAGTGATTTTTCTTCTTCTTCTTCTATGGCGCTTATATCCTGTAGGGACTTGGCAGTATTTCCAATTTCATCCTTGCAACTTGTTAAATTGAGAGGCTCAGATTACGCCATCCAGTGAATATGGTCCCCTAATTCTGCACTGAGGATTAGTATTATTACAATTGTTATGCCGCAGCAGTAGACATTTTTGACATATCAGGCATTTCAGCAGTTAGAGCACCTTTTTTTTTACTGATACTTTTTAATCTTGCTGAATTCTATAGCTTAGATTCAAATAAACCACGAGGCTTCTAATTACACTTCTGTGTTTTCAGTGGTTCAGTCATATGACTAATTAAACTCTATATATGTCTTGTTTTGTTTTTCTTTTTTAAAAAATGTGTTCTTAAACTAGGTTTACATTCCTAGAGCTTCTGGGCTATTGGTTAACTCTCTCCTCCCCCCAGAAACCAGTTTTAACCTTGGAGTTAATCTTGCAAATTATGTGTGTTCTTAGTTATTGCTGTTTCACCCTGAGGCTGAAGATAGTAAAAATCTTCCCAAGCAGAATTCAGTTTAATCGCTGCTTAATACTAAATAATCCCTTATAGCTTATAAACAACTATTTTGAATGCAGTTACCACACTGCATTTATATACACACAATGATTTTATGTCTCATGAGAAAGGTTTTATTTTATTTCTTTCATTAATTACATTCATAGCTTATCTTTCAATCAAATTGTCCCATAGTGCAAATACAGTGAGCTATAATAAAATCAAACAGTAACAAACCAATATAAATACAGAATCAGGTAAAATGTTCTGAAAAGCCTCTTAAAAGATAACTACTGTATATTTGCAAAGCATAAATAAGCACAACAGAGTCTAACATCCACATCTTAAATGTTGGCATTCTGGTTCTTCTGAAATCATCTTCAAGAAAGAAGTGAATAAAATCATCAAAAGGTAGAAGATCTAGAGGCATCTAAACAATAATCCTAAATCATCTAGTACATCACTCATAACATACAGCGAAGACCAAAGCCAGAATAGTTTTAGACATGATTGCGCTTTTACAGATGTTTTACTTTTGATATGAAGAACAACAACCCCAAAAACAAAATTACCATGAATTTGGTCCAAATGGCTGTCCACATTTTGTAGTTGCAGAAGTTGGGCATCCTGATCCTTCTAGATGGCTCTGATTTTCAGTCCCATCAGCCCTAGCAGATAAGGCCAATGACTGGAATTGTAGTAAAAAAAAAAATCAGGTTACCTGAATTTGGCTTTTTGGCAAAGCAGCATGGGAAGAATTGGGATTTGTGTGGGGTGAAGGATGTTGTCTTTCTTCTGCTCATAACTGATAGAAATGTGGATTCCTTGGTGCTCTCTGAGGTTTCACACAAGCATGCCCGCGTGCGCACGCACACACACACACACACTCATCCACACTTGTATCCTCAACTAGGCTGGCAAGCAAACATGACTCAAAGAGTGGGGGAATTCAGGAGCCCTTTTATCCCCACAGTCCTTGCTTTGTTCTGGTCGGTTGGGACTTGGGAAGGCCCAACTTCTTTTGTCTGATTCAGGTGACATTTGTTTTCTTTGTTTCTTTAACAACTTGGTTCCTTCTTAGCTGCTTTCCCTGACTGAGCTTTTCCTGACTTTTGTCCACCCTGCTTATGTGCTTGCTTCATCTTTAGGTATGGCATCTTAGTCCTAATCTCACAGTAGTTTCTTGTTTACTGCTTGATAGTTAACCTGGTATTAATCCAGATATTAATCCCAATTGTTGATTGCTGGCGAGGAGGTGTTCTGGTCATTTTGTTTCCATTTTAGCCTTTTAATTGTCTCTTTTAAATGATGTGTAAATGTTGTTTACTTCTGTGTGTCTGTGGATGGTTACTTTGTCTGAGTGCCAAGCTTCCAGGAATTCCCTAGCATTTTTGGACTTAGCTTGATCTAGGATGCTCACAATTTCAAAATCGAAACTATAGCTACATCTGTTCATGTGTATCCAATATAAACACAAATGGAGAGCACACCCCATTCTCTTCTAGCATTAAGAAGTTACCTAGTTTGGTAATGAAAGCTCTGCAAGTAAACAACCAACATCAGAGAAACCAATGACTCCACAGTTCAACCCTGAGCTACAAATAATCTTTTCTATTGAGACTAATGTCTATCTTGTCAGGAGTTCTAGTTTCACACCTTTCTAAAAAGTAGTGTTGAACTTGGTTGAGTAACATGTACTTCTTGCCTTTTATCTAAATCAGCGTACCTCAAACACAAATATTTTCCAGAGATTTGGATCATATTTCCCATTACCCTTTTGTACTATAGCTAGTAGATTGGGGAAGCCTGGGCTGAATAAAAAAAAAGCAAGCAGTACTTTTCTTCTTCAATTCTATTAAAAGAAAAAAAAAATCATGTGCTTTACAGTAATTATGCAAGTGGATTTTTTTTTCTTGGCTCCATTTTATAAATTCCTTTTCACAATTTAATTACAAGGGGTTTCAGTACATGACAAGTTATGAGTTGTTAAATGCTTCTAAATGTAGCAACCTGAGAATATTTGCATTTAATTTTAAAATAGGGTTTCGGCCTACAATCAATTACTTGGAAAAAGTCTTCTCTCTGCAAGAAAAAAGAGACTGATATTATATTACTGATATTCTGGGTTTGTTTGCATAGGAGCAGCCTCCCACTTGTTTTTTGTTGTTTTTTGTAATGTCAAATATGGAATATTTTGGAAGAAATAAGGCTCCTTCATTGTTTTCTGACATTCTTTTTCTCTCCAGAGAACCTAATATTTTGTTAGAAATTAATGAATGAAACAACATTCTGGCAAATATAAGCTTCCGGTGCCATTTCAAACTTTTATGTCAGAGAGGAGGAATCTTCTGTGTGCCTAGTTCAGGGGTAGGAACCTTGGCTCTTTTATGACTTGTGCACTTCAATACCCAGAATTCCTGAACCAGCCATGTTGAAGTCTACAAGTCATAAAAGAGCCAAGGTTGCCTACCCCTGGCCTAGTTGGATAGGATAATGGGAATCATTGGTCTGATTTTTCCATCTCTTTACATGTAGCTAAAAGCATTCCATTTTCAGGAGCACAGTATAGGTTCAGGATATCAGTTTCCTTTGAAAAGGAAAATGGTTAACTAAGAAGGCAAAATGGCACTGAACCAATACTGCAATTGTCATATCCATTAAGGAAATAAATTTTAGCCAATAGTTCTTCAATGAGAAGTATGGATGTGTACCTTTTATTCTGCCAGAATGGGAGAACAGTAGTGGGAAGACAGAAGGTTTGGAGTCTTGATAGTTGAATATTACTTAAGTCTCTATTACAGTATAAGTCTTCATTGGTTTGCAATTTGGTATGTTGGAGTAGCAGAAAGAGTAGAATGGACAAGGTAAGGGAATATGGTGAAATCAGTAAGGGAATAAACTTGGGACCCAATGCCATTTTCAGAATTGTGGATGGATCTTTAGATGTTCACTTTGCTGATTCTGGTGAACTATCAGTTGGTTGTGCAAATCAAAACCAACAAAACGTATCTGTTCTTCAGATTCCAAAATCATGAGTAGAGAGCTAATTTGGCACCAAAATGTTGTTGGATGATGCAATAGATCACATTTTGGTATTGCTTCTTCTAGATGGATTCTCTATCTAGTCTATCTATAGATTCTCTATCTATTGGACAGAAGTGTTCCATTTATCCATTTACTTGATTCTCTGATGTCCAGAAAGTATTCATATTTCTTTATTGAATTCATGCTGTTGGGCACAACAGAATTCTGGCCACACAGATTCATGCCAATAATTATCATGTAAACATGTTGTCAATGCTGCTAACATTGGATGTTCTTGCTTTGACAACATATGGAGATGCAGCCATTTTCTTTCTTATGTTTTACTCTTAAAATTAGAGTTAGAATTAGATCAGGCATGTCAAACTCACGACGTTGAGTGATGTATCACGACATATCGTGACTTCTTCCCCATTGCTGGCAATGGGGTGGGTGCGGTTTCGTCGTGACGCATCCGGCCCATGGGCCAGCAGTTTGACATGCCTGAATTAGATGATACTGGGGGGGGGGAAGGAGGAATGTGCATGGGAGTTTAGTTAGACATAACAACATGTAACTAGGGTGAGAACCAAGGTTTTTTGAAATAAGAGGTGATAAGAAATGGTGGGTTGAAGAACTGGAGGGAAAGCCAGCATTTCAAACTAATTGGAGAATGTGATTTATGACTGTTAATTAGAGGAGGGAATTGTGCTTTGATACTATGTGCTCAGTGGAGGGGAATTCAGATTTTGTCTTTGCCTATGTAGTGCCAAAGCTATGCTACTCGAATAAAGATCTTGGAGCACTGGGGAACTACCAGAGGACTGGAAAAGAGCTGATGTCGTTCCCATCTTCAAAAAAGGAAAAAAAAATGGATGCAGGA